ATTTTATTACTAAAATGTTGAGACTCCCCAGGGGTTCTTCTGCTGCGATCACTCGCATCTGGACAATCCTGCAGGACTTCCTTCCGCACCAGGAAAACCAATTAAAACCAGAGCAGAAAGCCCCTCTCTTGGGATACTACATCCTATCCTGGCTGCTCCGGGCAGTGAGACACACTGGCTGTTAATGATTTGAGCACTGCTCCCAGGCTCCTGGTCTTACCGCAAATTCCAAACGTTTCCTCAAACCCTGGCTAAGTCCAGAACTGCCCCCACACACACCCTGCAAACTCCGGTTCTGCCCAAGCTCCAGTCCCGCGTGACCTCCGGCCAGTGCTCTTCAAACTGAGAGCTGAGATCTATTAATGGGTGGTGAAAATTCAACAAATGAGTCCTGACCAGAATTCTTTTATCATGATAAAAGTTCCTCCTCCTACCTCGGTGAATCAGCTGTCCTGTATCCCTGGTTTCACTGCCTTTCTCTGGAACATCATAGAAATAATAATTCTGCCACAGGCTGTGGTTGCCTTTGAGTTGCTATGAAAGTAAATATACTGGTCTAAAGAGATACTTATGACACTTGGCTGAGTAAACATAATGGGTGACTCTGCCCCATTTCTGTAAGTAAACAGAATTTCTATAAGTAAACAGAATATACAAACGTATTGAGAGAGAATATTTGAAGTATGGAAAAGTATTCAACAAAATGTTAAGAGTGGTTATTTCTTGGTGTGTAGGGATGGGAGAAATTTTTTTATTATTTTACTTTTTTCTATATTCAACATGTATCATATGCATGATGTTACTATTTCTGTATTAATTATTATTACACTTTTCATATGAAGTACTCTCCTAGGGCCTTCATATTACCAGGCTTAAAGAATGGATAAAAGAGAAGACATCAGACAGATGTCAGCATCCTTTGATGCTGAATCTTTTAGGCCTTTAAGACCCATTTCACCAAAAGCTGTGGTAGCGAGAACGCGTAAGGAGACATCATCTAAGTGATCACCGAAGGCTCAGCAGGTCAGTAGAAAGCCAGGTGGGGAAAAGAATACAGACCTGGGGAGCAGTCAAACTAAGGCTCACACACAACTCTGCTCTGAGAAGTTACTTTGTTGATTCAAGCCTCACTTTCTCGTCTGTGAGATGGGGATAATGCGATGAAGCTTTCAAAGTTTATCCAGTTTGAAGGGAAAAACTTCTAGTAAAACAGGACACAATGTGTGGCGTGAAGGAAAACCAACGCCTTTCATCGGTGAGCGGAGAAGCCAGGAAGGAAAGGCCAAAAGAAATAATCATATGTGCCTGTTACAGTTCCAGCTTTTCAAATGGCAACTTGTCACGTGCAGAAAGGGAGGAGACACGCCCCTCTGAGTGAAGGGAAGGAGAGGCAGGAGGAGAGTGGGGGAGCCAGCAGCACAGGCACAGCTCATGGGATGTCCGGGGGGCCCTGAGTCTGCCCCCTTGGCCATGGCCCGCACAGGCTCTGCCAAATGCTCTGGAAAATGCTTTACAGGGGCTTCCTGAGGACAGTTATCCAGACCCACCCCCAAGCACAAGGTGATTCCACAAATATTTGAGCATTGACCACAGATAAAGCACTGTCTTCACACATGGAGGAGAGAAGGGAAATGAAAATGTGGCATGTCAAAGTTCAGGCGAAGTGTGCATAAAGAGTAATCTGGGACCAGCCAGTGAGGGTCAGTGGTTGAGCGTCGACCCATGCACCACGAGGTCGCTGGTTTGATTCCCAGTCAGGGCACATGCCCAGGTTGTGGGCCAAATCCCCAGTGGGGGGCATGCAGGAGGCGGCCAATCAATGTTCTCTCTCATCGATGTTTCTCTCTCTCTAAAATCAATAAAGAATATTGATTGTTTAAATATTTAAATAAACAAAAGAGTAATCTGGGACACAAGCTTCAGGAAGGAGGTTTAAGGGCTGTAGGACCATGTGCTGCCAGACAGGGGAAACCAGAGACGCTGCCTAGGAAAGAGGGCAACTCCGCTGCACCCTGACGCTGGAGCAGGGTTGCATCGGGTTGTGTAAAGGTGGGTCCACGATCCAGAGAGGGAACAGCCTGAGCAAAGCACACTGACCTGAGGGCATAGAGGGTGTCTCAGCAGGAGCACCCACTTAAGCGAGTCTAAGCTATCCACTGAGGAGTAATACCCCTAACTATAACCACAACCATTTTTAACCATGAGAAATGGGTACTAAAGGAGTAGCACAAGAAAGTATGGAGGACTCAAGTGTCAGGGCGCCCTCCTGGACGAGTGGGGATGCACTAAATGTACTTGGCAGGGAAATGACATGATCGGAGCTGTGCATCAGCAGTTAGATTAATTTGGCTTTTATGAATGAGTCAAATTTGGTGGGAGAGAGACTTCAGGCCAGAAGTCAGGAGACGGTTACAACAGCCCAGATCCTGGCGGCCAGGTTTAGAGCAGCGGCAGTCACGCAAAGGACAGATAGGTGCAAGGAAAAATAATTAAGGATGCGACCTTATTACCAAATCCCAGGATAACTGAACTCTAGTCCCAGCACAAGCACAAATATCTGCTGAAAAGGCGGGAGGGGTCAGCTCTGGCTCCCGACTTGGTGTTTTGGTGCACAATGGATACCATTCCACAGTCACCAAAGAACAGCAGCCGGTCCTAAAGGAAGCTCGCCCCGAAAGGCAGAGCCGTGGTCCCAAAGCAGAAGGAAAGAAAATCTAAACTCCAAGTGGCCACGTGAGCCTCAAAAACAACTCAGAGCACAGTGGTATGTACCACCAACTCCTGACCATGCTTAATAACAAAGCTATAAACCCCAGAGAATTATTTTCCCCTGAAACAGTCTCTCTTCTCCGGGAACAATGTGGCCCTGTCCTTGCCCAGGCTCAGAGGCCCGGGCCAGCTTAGATTTCTTGTCTGAGGTGACAGGAGACAGCGCAGCTGAGGTTACCGTTTCCTAGGATGAAGAGTGGCCACTAAAGAAGGTCAGCTGGCGTCTCCACCTGCACATTTTCTGTAATAATCCGGAGAAGGTAGGTACAAAGGGGAGGGGTGCGAATGGAAAAGAAACCATATAAAATAAATGACGGTTTTAATGTATTGGACTAAGGGATCAACAATATTGAAACAAAGAGACGGAAAGTACAAAAGGTTGAGAACCTCGTTCCAGTTCCCGGGAAGGACATCTCAAGCACCGTGTCATGCAGACACACGCAGGCCAAGGGACCCACAGGTGTGCTCCACAGAAAAGGGAGCCACTCATCCTCCTTCCCACCAGGGAAAAACACAGGTAACATGCTCAGCAGAGGCCTGAGGATACCAGAGGGTTCTTGCACCCAGGAAGGGGAAGAGAAGGCGACAGTTCTCTCCTAGAGAACTCTTGGTAAAAATAATAAGTCACGTGACAAAGAGGAGCTTCCTTTCAGCTACTTGGCAGCTTAAGCCTCCCAGCTCGGAGCCCGGAGACGTCTGGAGAGGAGAGGCCAATGACTCACCACCACGGCGGCGGAAATGAGCAGGTCCACATTTGTGAAATTTCCAAGTAAATTTACTTCGTCTGCTCCAAGAGCCCAAGCTTTAGAATTTTAACCATTTGAAAGAAGCATTTCCTTAAGATGTATCAGATTGAACCATATGAAGTAAGCATTCTGGTAGGTCAAATAATAACAATTTCACAGGGTTCAGTCATAGAACCAACATTCTTCTGTAGCAGGGACAGGCACATTTTTTCCTCACGGGCCAGACTGTAGATATATTAGGCTCTACAGAGCAAGAGGCAAAGCAGAGATTACATAGGTATTTATATGACCCTTTAAAACTATGGAAGCCAATGTTAGGTCCTGCAAAAACAGGCCTGGGCTGGATTTGGCCCATGAGCCATAGCTTGAGGACCTCTGGTCTATGGTATACAGGGTGAGCTTTTTCTGATGATGTTCACGATGAAAACTGCTAATTTTATAGTAAGTAAAGTATATGTGCAAAAGCTGTCCCTGCCACCCCGGTGGCTTTGACCCTGCTGCTTGGTCTGAGTCGACCCTGTTGTCATCTTGCCCTTCACTGCGGCTCCCGGCCCCCGGCTTTCTGATGGCGTGAGAAGCCGTTGTCTGGGTGCGGCTGGAGGGTGGCTCTAACTTTCCTGTGAAGAAGAAACTGAACTGTACAAGGAACAGGGACAGGATGTGGAAGCAAAGGCACTCTGGGGAACTACCCGAAACACACCCCTGATCTGAAGCCAAAATTCCAGAAATTCAAAGGGAAGCAACAAAATCAAATAGATATCTAAACAGCTGGGCCAAGGCTGAAAGACTAAAGGGAACACAAAATACGTTTGAGACAAACTCTCCTTTATGGAAATAAGAACGAACTTCAAACGGGCAATACTCATTTTTCTCATAAGTGAATCAGGGCTAGAGACAAACAGAAAAAGGCTGCAATTGTAGCTGTTCCCAAAAAACACTGGTCAGAAAAACTGAAGTGCTGTGGGACACTGAGAGTCATCACTGAGGGAACCCGGTGTATCCTCCTTCAAAGAATGCTAAGAAATGAGAGTACCACTCTCCCTAACACATGTTCAGCAACAACATACCCTGAGAACCTCTCTTCTGGGTCCATGAATTTTTTTTCATTTCAAAAGAATTAAAACAACTGCTGGGAAATGTTTGTAATTAATGGCATCACTATGGATGAAAAGATTGCATATTGTGATGAAAAAGGAAAGCTTACAAAAAAAACCAAAAAAACCTCTGTATGGTTGGATGCACGGAAAGGAAGGTTGCTGATATACACTCCTGGTCATAGGGCCACTGAATTATACAAAGTCCCAATCTGGATAACATTTCTCATCATTCATTATTAAAATCTTACCCTAGAGCGATTTACTTTCTTGCATTTCTGAATACTGCCAGCCGAATGTTATAAGCCTTCACCAGTTCAGCACCCTGCCACATTCTATGGTGGAAATTAGGGAAAAAAGAGGAGGAGGGAGAGACCAATCTCGTACGTACATGAGCTGCCTGGACGACAGGGAGCCTCCGGGTACCGTCTGCCCATCGCGACCAGTCAGCACATTGGCAGGGGCCGGGGCAGTTTCCGCACACTCAGGAAAGACACGAGGGCTGGCTGTGGTGGGGGCAGGAAAAAAGTAGAAACAAAACAGAGAGTGAGAATAAATGACTGCTTTTGTTTTTTCATTAAAATGCTAATCATGACCACAAATTTCCAGATAACTACATTTATGAATTATTCATAGTCACATCCGAGGCGAAGTCTCCCTGTCACTACAGGCAGGCACAGAGCTGTGACAACTAGCATGTGGTCCCTGTAATAAGTGTGACAGAGGCACAGGTCACTGCAAGTCTGTCCGGCCGGGCTGGCCCACCGGCCCTCTCCAGACCAGGCCACCCTATGCGTATTTCATGGATGCTTTTCATCTCGCTCTTCCTTGATGAAAAGGAATAGCAGTAGCCTGGATCTTTGCTGTGACAGCTGAACTAATAAACTAAAAACTCTAAGAGCTTGAAAGGAAAAAAGAAAATTTTCTGTATTGGGTAGATAAGACGTCAAACTGATTTTCAGAAAAACTTTTTATTGAAGTATAACACAAACAGAGAAAAGTACACATATCACAGATGGGCGACACAAAGAACTTGCCTAAACTGAACAGATCAAACCCCAGAACATTAGAGCACCCAGAAGCTCCCTTCATGCCCCCTCAAAGGTGACTACTGTGCATAGTTACTTTTGCCCAGTTTTGTAAACATCAAATTGATTTACTGTCATTATTAATTCTTCATTTAAAAACCATATGTTGAACACCAACTGTATGCTAAGCACTGCTAGACACTGGAGCTGCCAAGATGAATCAGACAGCCTCTGTCTTCAAGGAAAGTGAAGTCTGGTAGGACCTGGAGACACACACAACGGACCTGGCAGGACAGTGGAATGTGTGCAGTTGACTGAGATTCATGTCAAGCAGGGCACCTAGCCCAGAAATGGAAAGCTCAGGGAAGGCTTCCAAGAACAAGGAATGCCTGGCATGTCCTCAATCTGGGTAGGAGTTAGCCAAGCTGGTAATGGGGCGCAAGACAAGGGAAAGGCAGAGGTAAGAAACCGGATGGTATAATTTGGTGGTGTGCAGTGAGACCAAGAAAGAAGCCTGGTCCAGATCATAACCTTATACACAAATCCAAGAACTCCACTTTATCCTGGTTACAGACAGCCATTGATGGGCTAGATCTGGGTTTCAGATGCCCGACTCTCTCTGGATGGATTCAAAGGAGGCAGAGTAGAGGCAGGAGACCAATTAGGCCAGTTTGTTAGGTAAGAGAGGAAGGGAGGGATTAGAGCAGTAGAAGTAAGTAGGAAAGGGAAAAAAAGAGAAGAATTAGTACTTGGGAAACAACCAGATGCCAAAGGCAGTACATTGGAAAAATGACTACATGTAGTTAGACAGGAGTGACAATTGAGGTAGAGAATCCAGGAGAATGACCAGGTTTTATAAGGAAGACAAGGGGCTTAGTTTGGGGCATTAGAAAGTGAGATGTAGGAGATTCAGGAAGGGATACCCAGATATCCTTGAGTATGAGCGTGGGAAGGAAACCTGAGCAACACATAAGGGCACATACATGATCGTGACACAGAAAACAGCAGAAATGACATCAGTGGGTGATACCACTGAAGGAACTTGGACAGAGTGAGAAGATGAGAGGCTAGAGATAAAAGCAGAACCCTAGAGAACATGAACAATGATAGGATGGGCAGAGGGAAACGATCCTTTGAACAAGACCAAGGAAGAAAGGCAGAGAAGTACTGTGGGATACAATGAGATGAATAACGACAAGAAATGAAAAATATACCTTTGGAATGGACAGTTAAGCAGTTACTGGCCACCTTGACTGAGGGCAATTTCTGTAAAATGGTGGAGGCAGAGATAACAGAGCCAGTGGGAGGGAAGGAGAATGGATGGTCGCTGGAAGGGACGGTGCTGATGGAAGTCCACCCTGCTAAGCAGAGCGTACAAGAGGGAGGAGGCAAGGATGGAGTAAGATCCCAAAGGAGGTGGGGGAAGGGGCGGGAACAAAGCGGAAGGGGCTGGCCCTGAAGAGGAAGTGGAATCCACAACCTTCTGACGTTAGAAGAGTATTAGTTAAAGGAATAAAGACAAATCGGGCTGTAGTAAGTGTGCAGGCAACAGCATTGGGATGTTGGAGACAATACACCAAATGACATCAATATTGTCGATAAAATAACTGGGGAGACGCTTTGATGAAAGGAGTTGACACATAAATGGTTTGAAGACACAGATGAAAATCTTGGTTTCTGGCATGCTACCCTCCAAAATTAAAGTAGTCCAGCCCCATTTTAATGAAAATGCTATATTCGCCAGTACTTATCAGGGTGGAAAGGGGTATTTGTGGAATACGCACACCCATAGAACTTAATAGAATCAAAATGTATACAAAATATTCAGAAGAACATTCTTCTTAAAAATGATCTTAAGTTTTGGGTGCCAATCTTCCCAAAGGCTCACATGTAGCTTCTTTAAGTGAAACCATAACCCACCATCTTACAAGGCTTCTTAAGATGCTTCAGTTCAAAGGTCCCTCCAAGCATGACTACCCTAATGAAAATAAAGCCAGACATTTGAAGGTAACGGCAAGAAGAAGGGGAGAATGGAGTTAGCAGCAGGACCTGCCCGAGATTTTCTAGCATGATGCCTCTTAAGACAGCAGCCATGTCAACCCACTTAAGTCTCCTGCCCACTCTTCAACCTCGAGTTTTGACAAATACAGAAGTGGGGGAGCGATTGCATTCTTGGAAAGCACTGCAATAATGCCCAAAGCAGCAAGGTTTATTAGAAAATCTAATGCAATGGAAAACACCTTGAAAACAGATTTTATGTTCTCTGGGCAGCCTTTGTGACCTCAGAAACTCTGAGGCTGCTCCACGGTTTGTCTATTCTGTTAACATGAATATCTCCAGGCCATCTTTGGAAGATGACAGTATTTTAGAATTCTAGATAAGCACCTTATCATCAATAAACTCAGCCAGGACTGAGAAGGCTTAAAGCCATCTGATGCCTACTGACTGGGCCCTTCATCTCTGTATCCCTAGGGCCAGGACATATAACAAGCAGTCAATAAATATGGGATAAATCGATAGACCAATGCATAAGTGAAGAGCTAGTACAACTAAGAAGTAAAGGGACCAATTAAATAGTGAGAACAGAAATAGTCTTTCTATTCCTTCCTTTCCTACCCTAACTGACTCAAAGCCAAGCTGCAAATCTCAGTCCACTGCATTTCCTTTCCTCTTCGCAGAAGAAAATCTTTATGAACTCATAAATAAAAATTGTGTGTTAAGTAAGAGGATTCAGAAATAATGACATTATGAAACACAAACTGACTCTTAAATGAGAAAATAGGTAGGTGTGAACATTTTGAGCACACAAAGAAATAGAAATTGCCCACTTTGCGTCTGTCTGCCTCTTCTTGTTATCCTCTGCGTGAAGGACAGGACATCATTATTCTAACAGCTCGGTGTCTCTCCTCCTAGATGCTCATTCAACATAGCAACCTGCTCAGGTTCAACCCACTGGGGCAATAGATAGTCAAGTCCCGCTTCTTTGAAATTTTTGAAAATTCACAGGTCTACAGTTTTGTCCTAATATATATTTATACTATTCATCGTTTCACTTCTTTTATAACACATAAGCTTTGAGGAATCACTGATCATACTGAATACATTTTACACATTTACACAGCAGCACACTATGGTATTGTCTGAAAATAACTTGAACGATAAAATTTCCGAAAGTGAGAAATAATGGGATATTGCTGTTGTTGTTGTTGTATGTATTATGTGATGTTTTTCTAAAATGTTAAAAAATACCTTGGTCCTGAAAACAATCAATGTTTCTGCCCTCCTGATAAGCAAGATCTCGAGAAGGGAACAACTCTTTGAGACTGCCATCCTTCTTTCCACTCTTGATTAAGATGCTAAGAAAACCAAGATGAACAATACACTATTCACTTGAATGCAAGCCGTCAAGGGGACAAAAGGAATATTTAAGCCAGTCCACAAAGAGTTTAGTGTGCAACTTTTTATTTACTATATTTATGATACTGTCCGTAATATATTCACTAGCAAATGCTCTACTAGGACATTAATCCTCAACAGATACATCAATGCTGTGCCTCTCCTACAAATTCTCATTTTGCTGATGTGGGGCAAAAATGTCACAAATTCTCTGACAATCAACATCTCATGTCAACAGCCATTTGTTCTACTATCCCCTTTACAACTATTGTGTGACATCATAATGGCTCTACTTAAATATTTGCTGTTATTGACCTAAAAGACTAATTTGTAAACAAAAAGTTAAAAGGGGCTTTATTGAGTGCAACATGTTTTTGATATGAAAGCTGTGCAAGCTACTAAAATAATATACAACATTCAATTACAAGTCTCTGAATCACTCTGCAGTTATTATACTGTATAATCTCACTATTTGGAAAGCTCAAGGAGTAAGATATTGAAAATGACCAAGATTTTCATAATAGTTGAAGGGCTACTCATCTAAGTTGTTTGGAAAAGTAGGTTTAGTGGCTCAGTAGACTGAGCACTGTCCCATGGACTGAAGGGTCACTGTTCGATTTCCAGTCAGGGCACATGCCCCGGTTGTGGGATCGGTCCCAGGTCCCCGGTTGGAGGGCATGAAGGAGGCAGCTGATCAATGTTTCTCTCTCACATCGATGTGTTTTTGTTTTTGTTTTTGTTTTGTTACAGATGTTTCTCCTTTTACCCCATTGACACCCTCCTCCCCCGCTCCCTCCCCGCCCTGTCCACAACTTTGTTGTCCATGTACATTGTTCATGCATACATGCATATAAGTTCTGTGGTTTATCTCTCCCTGCCCCACTCCCTCTTCTGGGGATTGTCAGTCTGTACCCTACTTCCACGTCTCTGGGACTACCCTTTTCTTCAGACTGTTATGTTCATTATATTACACAAATAAGTGAGATCATATGATACTTGTCTTTCTCTGACTGGCTTGTTTCACTTAGGAAAATACTTTCCAGGTCCCTCCATGTCATCTCAAAGGATAAGAGATCTTTCTT